CACTAACATGTATTTACGATATTGATTGCTAACAACGATTTTATTCTAGTTGTAGATTCAATTTAAGTTTCATAAACTATATAATCAAGATTACACCAAAATTCTCTCATACTAGTTTGATCACGATTCTTAACAAGTAATTCCTTTAGTATCAAAGTGGGTCGGGTTGTCCTAGCAACAACTTTTTATCTTTTGTTGAATTCAAATAATGGTTAATTTTTTAAGTATAATTACATGAGAGTAAAACAATTTTTGAAATTATTTAAAAATACATTTTAGTAATCGAAAAAGTTGTTAACAGACTTGCATAGTAATCGAAAACTTAGAGTTTACTCCCTGAACAATAATCAAACATACAAAATAACAACAAATTTTCAGTCAGCACTTATTCCAATTTAAAAGGCATGCATAATTATTATGTACTATCATCGGGAGTTGATAGGAAAAAAAAATCATTTATTCATAACACCTCTTTCAACATACCAACACTTTCTTTAGACAAATATTGTATATAATGGAATTATGGACAACATTTTAGCAATACAAAGAAAAAAGATTAGCCTGTCATTTTAGATCAAAATTGTTATGAGCCAAGCCTAAGTTTAATAAGCCTACAAATAAAATAAGTACCGAAACCCAATCCTATCAAATCCTTGAGCCCTCTGTGGTCTTTGTATATGCCCAAACATTATTTCACAATTTCCTAAATTAACCCCAAAAGTTACATGATTCAACTGTATGCGGTGACTTCAAGTCTAACTAGACGTGACAATGGAGCGGGTTTGGAGCGAATTGATTTTGACCCAAATCCTTTTAACAAATTTCAAAATGTGATCCAAACTCGCTCCGTAACCCGCAGGGTTTTAAATAATCAGATCCATACCCTTATCCACTGAACCAACAAATATCCAAACCCGCCCCGTAACCCAAAGGTTTTTTAAATAATCAAACACATTTTAATTAATTCCTAAAATAAAATTTCTTAAATAAAAAAATATATACTATATCTTAATACTTAAAATAGCATTTTTTAAATAAAAAAATTGAGTTAGAAAAGGACATTACATACTCCAAGAATTTCAATCGGAATTAAAAATCACTATTGCAACAAATTTTAATTGATTTATGACTGTCGGTTGTAGTGATAGCGAATAACAATTGCAACTTTTTTCATGTTAGAAAATGATTTATTGAATTAGAAATGGATATGACGATTTCTTGATGAATATAAATTGAATGACATTATGATTCTTGATAGAAATCTTTAAGTTTAGAAACCGACTTATCGATTCCTATGTAAAAGCATTTTTTCTTGGCCTTTGCCCTTTGGACTTTTGATTGGAATTAAAATTAAACGTTAAGAAGTATAAAATATAACTCTACAATTTATATGGGGCGGGTTATAAATGGAGCGGATCGGTGATGATCCATACCCGATCCATTTAATAAAAGGGTTAGCGGGTATGGATCGTTAACGGGTAAACGAATCAAAAACTACGCTCCAAACCCATATAATTCTTACGAGTTTGGATTGGATTAGGATCAAAACCCGCTCCATTGCCAGGTCTAAGTCTAACCACACGAGTTTTATTCTCGGAAGAGCACTTTTTTTAAGGATATCATTGGCAAACCAGCTAGAAGACGAAGATCCTTACTTTTTATTTGTATATGAGTTTTTGACAAAAATAGTTTGATTTCTTGAAACGTGTAAATTACACAAAACGATGACAACCATGATTTGGATAATGTTTATTAAGGGTAATCTAGTAGATGTGTTATAATAAAGATAAACATTTTTAAACCCTATGTAGCTTTTGAAATTCATAGTTTTTTTTTTGTTTAAAAATAAAATCTTGAGTAAACTACACGAATGGTCTATCTGGATTAGGATATTTGCTTGTTTGGTACCTAGCTCTTTCTTGTTTAACTTGGATCGTCCCCTATGACTTTGAGTTTGTTTTGATATTGGTCCCCAATCAAGTAGAACGACTATTATTCCTTTTACTGATATTTTTAAATTCCCTTTCAATATTTTTGTTATTATTATATAGATAAATTACTAATGGACCCCACCTATATACTTTCCGTCTTTCCCTTCCACTTTCACGTATCAGAACGTTTGAACCCTCATCTTGATGGAAAACAAAACCTAACACCTTCCTTTATCGCACTCTCCCATTGGAAACCTCTCTTTAACCCCTCATCCCTCTTCACTGCCCACCTGCATCTCTCTCCCCCTTTATACTTTTCATCCATAAACATTACAAATACATGGACTTGATCAGAGGGGAGATCCATTTGTGACTTTAAATCGAGTGGTAATAAGTAGATACTAACAAACATTTGATGTGGATGAGGACTTGATTTTTCAAGTTGAAGGTTTTAAATCAATTTGGTGGGTGGGTAGAAGTAAGATTCTTAAATCTATACATATATGTTAGCTCTCACTTAAGTTTCGTATTTGCCTTGTGCTTTAACGTTTAGTGGTTATTTGTTTGTTGCATAATTTTATGTTGTTATGGTAATGGAATGATTATTATTCTGGGGGTCATGGTGGATACCGACGACAAGGATAAGGGGGGTGAGGTGGGGTCTATTAGTAATATTTTTATATAATAGTAATAAAATAATATAAAAATAATTAAAAATATCATTAAAGGCAATATAGTCATTTATTTTATATTGATTAGAAACCAAAATTGAAACAAATCCAAACCACATGGACATACCAAGTTAAAACGAAGAGTTAGAGATTAAATGTGTAAATTACTAGTCTGAGTTAAAAAGAAGAGTTAAGGATCAAATATGCAAACTACTGGAAACCATAGGGACCATTAGTGTAATTTACTCTAAAAGTTTTTAGCCGGTGCTTCCAAACATGTTTTTGACAAAATTGCAAAAATGGTGCGTATGGTATGTATTTTTTGGGGGTTTTAGTTCAAACCCCGACTTTTTTGGATTAGTGGTCCTTTTGAGCTAGTTTCGTTGCGGATTTGGTCCCTTGGTAAACTGAAATGACTGTAATGCTCTTAGGATTTATTTTTTTTATTTTTTTCTATTTAATTTAAATAAAAAAGAAAATAATTAATTAATTTGGGTCTCTCTCTCTCTCTCTCTCTCTCTCTCTCTCTCTCTCTCTCTCTCTCTCTCTCTCTCTCTCTCTCTCTTACTAGCCACACCTTTCAGTGAAGCTACCACCAAACACCATCATCGGTTTCTATTATTCATCTTTTTTCCCCTTTCACCAAATATCATATCCAGATCTAAAGAACACCCAAAAACAAAAATCGTATCCAGATCTGATGAACCCAAAGCAAAAATCATATCAATTTTGATTTTGTTCTTGAAGAGAAGAAAGAGAGTTCGATTTCACACACCCGCATACAACTACGATTTCATCTGAAGAGAGAGAAAAGAACTCAAGAACATACCAACATATCTGGAACCACAATTTCATATATGCTTAAGTTTTTAGATTCAAGTTCCTATTTGATTTCGTGGTTTATTCTTGAAAGTTAAAAGTAAGAAAACCCAACCCCACATAACTGCAACTATCGATTTGTGTGTGTGTGTGCGAGTTCGTTTATGAACAAAAAAAACCATGATTCACCTGAAGAAGAAGAAAATATGGTGATACAAGTGTGAGTTCTTTGAAGACGAAGACGGAAGGGTTTTTTTTTTTTTTTTTTTTTTTTTTTTTTTTTTAGTATCTGTTGAGAGATGAGAAGGAGGGGATGAGTAATGATTTTGTGTGTTTCTTATCTGTTACAATGTTAGATACACAGGTATGTGTGAACATTCATGTGACCAACCTAGGATTTAAACAGATACGAGATGAACAAATTTGAGAATGGTTTTTCAGATCCATAAACGGGGAGGGAGAGTCTTCAGATCTGGCGATGGATGTGAAGTGGTAGAAAAAATTTAGGTGGAGATGGAAGTAGCAAACGGTGGTGGTGGTGGCGGAAGATGTTCTTGAGTTCATGAAAATGTTCTTGACGTGATGAAGATGTTCGAGAGAGAGAGAGAGAGAGAGAGAGAGAGAGAGAGAGAGAGAGAGAGAGAGAGAGAGAGAGAGAGAGGCCCTCCATTATTTTTTAAATGTTAAAAATAAATAAATAAATACTAAATTAAAAAAAAAATAAAAGAAAAATGAAAAATAAATACCCCAAGGATATTATAGTCATTTCAATTTTCGAAGGGACTATTTTCACATACAAACTAGTCCAAAAGGACCATGAAACCAAAAAGGTCGTGGTTTGAACTAAAACCCCAAAAAAATACATACCACACAGATCATTTTTGTAGTTTTGTCTTTTTTTTTTTTTTTTTGAAGCAAAAACAAGCAGCCAAACACGTCCTCAATCTAGACCGAATAACTTAATGGATTAAGCTAATAAAACTGATTTAACATATTAAGACACCAACACTTAACCTATTTGTTCTTTTTTTTCTTAACAAAATGATTTAATATATTAAGACAACAAAACTAATTTAATATATTAAGACACCAAATACTTACCCTTGCTGGATTTAATATATTAATGCTACAAAAAACTGATTTAATACATTAAGACAAGTAAAGTGATTTAATATATTAAGACACCAACACTTAACTTATCCTTAACGGATTTATAAATTTGTTAATATTGATAAATACTATGAATTTTTCATAGAATAAAACCATAAAATGCCATTTAGTCTCATTCAAAAAATTTATTCACTTCTAAAAAGAAAAAGTCCTTATTAATACAACTTAATTCATATAGTAAGCCACTTTTATACCCACGCAACTTTAGGTTGGTTTGATTAAACAAAAGTATTTATTACCAAATAATTCCAACCTATTGATGATTTCGTAGAATGTAGAGTTCATTAAGAGGATTTTGATTCGTTCTTTTTATCAAATGTGCCGAATACCGATTTAGTGGTGACATCTAAATGGTTCCATTTTGACTTAACATGTGATGAACTTAATACGATATGCTTTATATAACTACTTTTCTTACTCATAAAGAATGACTTATTGAAAAGGATTGGAAAATAAGATTATCCCCATAAATACTTTTAAACATTATTTATCCAAGACTTCACTTTATCAATACAACACTTACTAAAAAAAATCAAAAACAAAAACCTTACAACACTTGTTCAAAATCGAGCATTACACTGCTAAGACTCGATACATCCATCATCCTCCACCTTCACCTTCGGCCTACAACAACCATTTTTCACAACGCCCGCCACATCATCACCCTCCACTTTCACTTTCGTTCCACAACAACCCCTTTTCAAATCTTCATTCTTCCCAATTCTCTCGAGAAACTCCATGTTTTCTTTCCACACTTCACCATTAGAATACACTTCTTTCTTCCATATAGGAACCGATGCTTTAAGCTCATCAATCACAAACTTACAAGCATCCAATGCATCAACCCGATGAACAGAAGAAATGGCAACAAACACACTTGTCTCCCCAACAGAAACGGGGCCCAATCTGTGGGCCACAGCAATGGAATTTAAATTCCATTTGGATCTTGCGGATGAACAAATGGAATTGAGACAACGGATGGCCATTGGGACATACGCTTCGTATCTTAGTTCAATGACCGTTTTGCCCTCAAATGTGTCACGGGTGTTCCCGTAGAATGTGGCTATGGCCCCACATTGAGGGGCGTGGACGTAATTTGTGTACTTGTTGATGTCGATTGGGTGGTTTTCTTCCAAGATTTCTATTAAGTTGTTCTCGTGTTCATTCGCCATTTCTTTTTTTTCTTCACAAATGCTCTTTGGGTTTCTGAGAAAGTCAAGAGATTATGATATAAGGGTCAATGGCATATAAAAAAGAGATTAGTGATTTGGATGAGAAGGGCAATTTCGTCTTTTTTACGGACCAGAGATTAGGAGGGAATTGCCATGTGACAATGTTCATGTGTAATGGAATTAGAATATGAAGGAATTGTATTACTTTTTGGTTTGAACAGGGTAAAAGAAACAAAGGGTAACTTTAAATCAAAAACCAAATAACCCAAAGAAAAGAAGAGAATTTTGATTCCACACAACAGAAACCTAATTCAAATTAGGGTTCATTTTGTTCATCACCTTCAGTCCAACGAAGGCAATAAAAAATTAAGATCAAAGATCAAATTGGGACTTATCTTATGGGAAAACCATGAAAGAACACGATTTCCTTCACGGATGCGTCAAAACCCTAATCAAAGCTATGGCAGGAACAGGAAGTTCATTAACGATAATTAAAATTGCATACAGAATAAAGATAAGAGAGCTTACTGGATGTGAGTGAGAGTGAGATAGCCGCCGGAGATGTAGGCCACACGGAGAGGGCAAAACAGGTGTCCGACGGTAGTTAACAGCGAACGCAGAGCAGGGTAGTGGTGGCGAGCTTCGGCGGTGGTGGTGAGAGCCTGTTCGGTTTCAACTATGAAATAAGGACAATTTTAAGAAGGAGAGGAGGGAAAGCAGGTGGCAGGATATAAATGGTAAGACAGAGTAATTTGAAGCAAGAAGAGCAGTAATCACTAGCAACAAAAGGATGAAAAACCGAAATCGATAAGAATAGAATATTGAAATCTCGTATTATACCTCTGGGAGCTTTCAAATGATCATGCTGGCTTCCAGTTGATCGGAAGAATCAGACAGAAACCCTTCAGGATTACAGCTTGACACGAAGATATCCCAACCATTTGTCAACTGTGTGGGTGTGAGAGAGAGAATCTGTTTCTGCTGTTATGTGGTTTGGGCTTATGTGATAAACGAGTAGCATTAAAAAGTTAAGCCCATGTTAATATCCACTATCTCAACTAAAATAAATGTTTGAGTCAACATAGTTAAATCCGGTTTAAGACAAAATCGATTCTACCGCCATTTAGGAAAAACTGCTTTTGTGCGGTCTCTTTTTTTTTTTTTTTTCGGATGATGGTGAGTGGCAATGTCTGGTTCAACTAAGGAGTAGGTCGTCCTATCTGATAGAGCGGGTAATGCTCAAATTATTTTTTTCGTATTTGGGGTTGACGTTGAGAAAGACTAAAGACAGGAGAGCACGCACATACATCCTCGGGAAAGCACTAATGAACTACGCCATCTCTGACACTTATGCGGTGAGATACCAACCATTTGATATCGCCCACAAAGCTAAGAGGCCACTGACACCGAACAATACCCATAAAGAACGCTAACCACCACCGCTAAAGGAGAACTCTTTCGGCAAAGAATTTTACCAAAAATCCCGATTCGAATCATTATGCTCGATAAAAGTTTCTAATGCAATATCTTCAATCAGATCTGTACGAGTGATAGGAAGAAGTCAGCTAGTTGCCATCCGCTCTGTCCCAATCTCCGGTCAATGATTGAGTCCGAACTCACCTAAAACGGCGTAGAAGGACAAGGGCTCCTTCCTTCTCACCGCGTCCTTCCTTATGTGTCAGAGATATAAAGCGAGTGCACTGGAAAAGAACGGGAACTGGTTCGATCTATTCTATGTCGAAGCATCCGAAGCATAACTGCACACTCACACGATCTTTGCCGATAGATAGGAGCATTTGGTTCAAACCGGTTCAATGCAAAAAAAATGTTGATCCTATGTGAACCGGTTCGGACTGGATCAAACCCGGTTTTATAAAATAGAAATTTGAGCTTTTGTACTTGGTTCTCTCGGTAATTAGCCCAACACACAAAAACCGATTTGTAATTCCTTTTTATTTCTAAAGTCCACTTCTTTTGAAGCACCTTCCTTGTTTGGTGCAGGAGAAATAAAAAATGAAGGTAGTTAACGAAGCTTGATTGTATGAAGAGAGGACTCCTTTTGTGAAGGAAGAGTTTAACAAAAAGACACAAGTTGTTTCCATACATCCGGACAAACCCAATTCTAACATTTCGGAGACCTTGTGCAATACGAAAAGTGGTAGAGTTCTCCAAACAAACTCGAGAGTTTCCATACATCCGGACAGACTCGAGAAGACGCTAGATCATACAAGAGTAGTCTGGAAGACCTTGGAACGTCCTAGAGCTCTCTAGGACAAGATAACATATATTAGAATATTTTAGAACCTTGTGAAAATAAAGAAGAGTATAGTAGAACGATCTAGAAAAATCAAGAAAGATTGGGATCTAGACACTTCCATTTGAGGAGGTGTAAGAACCCTATAAATAGAGGTAGGGTCATTTATAGCAAACCATCAAAGTTGCCTTGTAATCTCTCAAGTTATTGTAATACAAATTTCTCTTTTATTTGAAGTACTCTTAAACTTTAGTCTATTGCTTTCCAATTTCGTTAGTACATCTTAGATCATCGAAGTAGCCTGACTTAGTCGAAGAAAAACTAAGTGGCACAAGAGATAGACTAGTCGCAAGAGTCATCCTGTGACAAGCTGCTCCAGACCACGTTGTAAACTAACAAGATATTGAACGCCTATATCTGCAAGAAGCCATCTCGTCCAAACAATCTCACAAGTAGCGATAGACATGGCTCGATAATCAGATTATGTAGAAGATTGAGAGACAACATCTTGTTTCTTGCTTTTCCATGATATCAATGAATCTCCAAGAAAAATACAATACCCAGTAGTGGACATACGATCATAAATATTACTATCCAAATTTGCATCACTATAGGCACGCGACTCAAGAGAGGATGCATAACACAAGAGTACGTGTGACATCCCCAAAATCTCGGCCAGAAAAGACCGATTTTCATTTATGCTTTTAAAATAAATTCAGAGTAAATCCTTTTGATTTGAAAGAGTTGCGGAATTTGTTCCCAAAAACAAAACATGATAAAACAATGTTTACCAAAGCATTTCATAAAAGAAATGTATTTTTCATTATATAATCAAAACTCGGGGTGTCATGTTCCGATATAGACCAATAAGCATAAACGATAACATTACAAGTCATTCAACAAATATATACATATACAGACTTGTAAACAAAACAACTTGATGGTTCATCCATCTTACGCCCTTGCGCCACTTCCTGTAATACAAATAAAACTGAGTGGGTCAGGCTTGGGAGCCTGGTGAGCATATAGGGTTTTCAACCCACAATAAATAATTAAATTAATTATTATCAACCAACAATAACCCAGTTACCCATTCCCGTTATTCTCACTTTATGTCCCTAAAATAACTAACACAAGGGACCTAATCTAAGAATATTTTCATCGGGGTGACAACACATGCTGCGGGGTTTCCTCAGCAATATAAGTCAAATAAGGCAACCATGAGGGGGATGGAATACAGCGAATGAACACCCAAGTTCATTAACACCTACAGGTTATGAGCCTGCTAGCGTTCCACTGGACTGTCTAGAAAAGTCCGTGGTCGTCATCTAAATTCCGCTAGATGACTGGATCAAAACAACAACGAGGCATCTCATCTGTTTATTACACACCAACTATCTACCCATGTTCTACCCAACATATTAGTAGATAAAAACATACATTTTTATACATATTTTCAAAACTTGTATAGCATGCTTGATCAATACATTTTCCTTATAACAGATGAGGCACACACACATAACACGTATTTCATATAGAAATAATCAGATTTGTAAGATAGAAGAAAGTGAATATACATTCATACACATAACAACAAAATATACAGATAACACGTATCTCATATAAAATACTTCATAGTTATACGTTAGTAGAAAGTAACAACGCATTCACACGTATAAACGACAATAAACTTAATACACTCAAACCATACTTGTATTATTATTGCGTTTATGAAAGGTAGTATACACTCACTTGATCAGAAGATGATCGGACAGCACTACGGCTTGCAAAAGTAGTAATCCTCAGCAGATCTGGAAGATCTCTACGAAAATCGAACTTCTCGCGGGCAGAGCTTCGGCTCGAAAACCGCACTTCTCGGGATCTTCGGGATCTCGGGACTCGCTTCGGGACTTGGGAATATTACCGGGGCTTTGGGGTACTTATGGCACGCAAATCGATGCAAAACGGGAGAGAGAAGAGAGAAAATAGCAACCCTAAACGGCTGGCCCTTCAAATCTATTTATAGGGCAAATTTGGCCCTTGCCACATCGTGGCAACCTTTTTCCACGTCGTGGGCTTGGTCGTCACTGCATGCGTCATCCCAAGTTGCATCTGGGGCCTCCCGGAGGTGTCAGGACACTTGCCACGTCGTGGCACTGCTTGCCACGTCGTGGTCTCTGACAGTTTTGGGGTTTCGCACCCCGAACTTCAAAAATTCATAACTTTTGCATACGAACTCCGTTTTCGACGTTCTTTATATCGCCGCGAAGGTGAGATTATGCTCTACAACTCTTGTTTAGACTCAATTGGCTAGTTTGACTTTATTTTTAATATATTATAAGTATATTACTTATATATTATTTTTAGTAGGCCGGGACAGGAAAACTCCGTTCGAAATTCATAACTCCTTCATCTGAACTCCGATTCCGTCCGTCTTTCCATCGTTGCACTACTATCGATGAGATCTTCAATTATCATTTAGATCACTAAGGATAGATATCTATCTACCTTAAATTCACTATTTACATCGCGCCGGGTCGCGCTGGGTCGTGCCGGTTCTGTCGCGAAACTTCGACAGGTCATAACTTCTTCGTTATAACTCGGATTTCGGAATTCTTTATATATTCGGAAACCTCGTTTCAACTACTACAACATTATCCATAAATATAGGCGTTATATAACATTTCATTTTGACGTTTATTTTTATTCTTAATTAAATTAAACCACATAATTAAGCAATTAAGCACAAAACACATAATACTCAAATAATACACTTCTATTATTTCAAAACGGGTTACAAAGGTTAACCTAGACTATTATATTGCTAAAAATGGCAAGTCCAGAAACACAGGCGTTACAGTACGAAACTGAGTACCACGTAGATATCTCAAAATACGATGAATAGCTCCCCAATAAACAGTAGTAGGAGCAGTGACAAACTGGCTAACCACATGAACTGCATGAGCAATATCCGACCTAGTGACAACTAGGTAAACCAAACTCCTTACAATGGTACGATAAAGGCTTGGATCTGATAAGGGGACACCATCAGTTGGATAATATTTTGCATTCCTCTCTATAGGCATATCAACTGTTCGATTATCTGTGAGTCGTGCGCATTCAAACAAATATGAAATATACTTTGTTTGAGATAAAAGATAAACCTTTGGAGATTGAGCAACTCCAATCCCCAAGAAATGACGTAGCAAACCTGGGTCTTTCATAGAAAAACGGTGAGCCAAATTGTCACACCCCGAAACCGATGGCGGAAACGTTCCGGGGCGGAGGACGTCATGCGTAGTATCACAACCATTGTACATAGTAAGCATAGTAAACACAACCATTACATTACAATAAGAATATTTACATTTGTTTAAAAGCATTGAGAACATAGTTATTTACATCAGTATAAACAAAAGTAAAGACGAGACTTCTATATGCACCGTCTTCTCCAAAAGTGATCGAAGTACCTGTCTAACTTTGACCTGAGAATACAAGCAGTTTTAGAAATATCAGCATAACGCTGGTGAGTTCATAAGTATGTTTTGTAAGGAAAAACTGGTTACTAAATCTTGTGAAAATACTTCAGTTCCATTGATAAAGAATGCAGTAAATATCGAAAACCATTAATACTGAGTTATGAAAACCATTAATTCCAATAAATGATTTCCAATCATCAATCAATAACTTACATTCGTTGAAATAGAATGTATTTAATTCCAAAAAAAGTTTTCCATATTTTACATCTTGAATTTTCAGTTATGAAGATTTTAATATGGTCAATTTTTAAAAACATATTACTAATAAATCATTTTCAATCAAGACCTTAATATCAACCATTAATATAAATCCGTTTATCTTAGTAAACCATTAATATAAAATCTTTTTTTATTAGGAAATCATTAATACCGAAAAATCATATTCAAATTATCAATATACATATACGATTCATCATTGAATCCGCGACTCACATTTATTTTCAATCGTTTCTTTTCTTGAAACCTTCTCTTACAACATCGTTAATATTGCTTATAACTTCCATCATCATTCTCTGCTATAAACATTCGCTCTTGTGCGCTAGAAGGTCAGTACCTTCTTTCGCTTTTTATATTTTTTTTGATTATTTTTTGTTCCTATATCAAATGTATGTATTCATATATTTCGATTTTCTTTGTCACAAATTACATGAAATCAGTTAACTACTTTTCTGAAACGTTTCAAATAAACATGAAAAGATATTAGGTACCTTTAACAAAATAAAAATTAACTATCTTGGGAACTAATATTAATTACGAAAATGTTACTTTTATATATTAGAGATGATTATGATTTTTTTTATGTCATAAAAATCCGGTTAATTTTGACATGATTTTAAAATGTCATTGAAATTATTATGTTTATGAAACAACCCAAAAATACGATCCAAAAATTTCGTTTTTCGATATAATCAAAACCATAATCAGAGTGTCATATAATAAAACCATACGTGATGCATTCCAACATAATAGAAAACACTGTGCGGAAACTGTATCATACTACGGCAAATCAAAACAAACTAAATCAATCCCAGGCTAAAAGCTAAGGTTGTGGTGTGTGCGATGCCGTCACCCCGAGCTCTTCCCTTTGCTTGCGGAAGTACCTGAAACCAAAACTGAAACTGTAAGCACGAAGCTTAGTGAGCTCCCCCAAACTACCACATACCATACAATAACATATAAACACATATTGGGCCTTGCCCACTGCATCGGGCCGAAGCCCGGAAACTGCATCGGACTGAAGTCCGGAACTGACTGGGACCTTGTCCCCTGCATCGGACCGAAGTCCGGAACTAACTGCATCGGACCAATGTCCCGAACTAACTGCATCGGACCGAAGTCCGGAACTGACTGACTGAACATGGCATAGCATAACACATCAACTAGCATAAACACATATACGGCAT